GTATGTGCAATCTGAAAGTGAGGGAGCGAGTGGGTGAGTGTGAGGGGGATGACGGTGAGGTCGCTGAATGGGGGTGGTGAGAGCGAGAGAGAGAGAGAGAGAGAGAGAGAGAGAGAGAGAGAGAGAGAGAGAGAGAATGTGTTGTCAAGAGCAGCGTTAGGGAATAGGGAGGTGATGTAAAAGTTAAGTGCATTCACAATACACGCCAGTCTCTGGCTGGTCTGATAACATCTGCATTAGGAGATGATTTCAGACAGCATGTTAGAGGTTACACTGTCTTTGTGCCCTTATCGCTTGTTCAGTCAGGTGGTTAGTCTGCCTCTAAATGAACATATTTAAACAGGAGAGCAGCTTATCAGTCCCTTAATAGATTTATGCAAATATTTAGTGTGCATGTTTATATCAAATGTTAAATAAAAAAGTGAAAAGGGACTTTGGATAGCAAATAAAATCATTTCATCACTTTCTGCCATATTTTCATTATTTAAAGAGCTGCAGTAGCTCTTGGTTCATTGGTTGAATTACTTTACGATATCCTTTGTTATGCTGTACTACTCAGAGATAAGGTTTTAAACTTTATTTTCATATTTATTTTGTGGAGTTTCATTAAATTTTAGAATTCTAATAGGCTTCAGATTCCAAAAACTGATTTTAATGTGACATTTTCTTATAATTAAAGGAAATGATCAGATTAAAGGACACATCAAACCACAGAATATATACCAAAAAATGCCTAATTTGGTTGCTAATTGTTATTATATACCTATCTGAAACGATTCAACCTCCAAGTTTGAAAAATGAAGGTGAGGCTGGCTCCAGCAGTTAGCAAATCGCAGTGAAATTTCATGTTAAAATGGTCAATTTTATCGATATTTCTCTCTGTAGCTATTTTTTCCCTAACAAGCAACTACACTGTCAGGGATTTGTTTTTAACCTGGCCGATTTAAACTTTATGGAACTTAAGATTGTTATTGCTATTATTCTTGTTGCTAGTTTAAATGGCAGGTAGCTGCAGCCAGTTTCTGTCTGCTGGTAACTTAAATGGACGTCTAAATCAAGCTTGTGTTTTTAGTGCCTTGCAAAACTATTAATGTAATTATCTGATGCTATTGCATGTCTGCATGAACATGAAAATGGGAAGCAGGCAAACTGCTGGCCTGATTCTCCTTGAAAAATTGCTCACCGGCACACAAATAAACAAATAAACACACCCTTTCTTGTTTTCTTTTCTTTTAAACTGCAAATTGATGCATTACTAATGAAGAAATATTTTATAGGCAGTAACTTGTCCATCCTTTTGCCCCATTTGGTACTCTTCCTGCTTAGCTTCTGGCATCATATTTTTCCAGAAAGAAGAGGTGGATTGATACCAACTGAAACATTAATCAGTAAAAAGAAAGAAAGAAAAACGTTCCCATCAGTTCCCAGCTTTAAATAGCTGACATCAGTCATCTATTTGTACTTGTATTTTGACTGTTGGTCTCAGCACTTTCTTAGTTTGTTAGTTTCAGAGTTGGTTTTACAGGTTCATCACTTTGCAATGGGTACATGCAGTAAACTCAAAGCCCAGACAGAGACATATTTATTCTGTAGGCTATACGGGACAACCATATTGGAGGCTTCTTGTCCTCCACCCACAGGTCAAGTGCAGGTCTCAGTAGACTCAGTGGCTCTCCAACCCCACCCAGATTTCTTATCTCCACACAATGGCACCCTGGTCTCTCTGAGCTCTTTAATCAATATCATCAGAAAATAGAGAGAGCTGTGTGTTAACTCCCCTTTTTCCATTTTCTGATGGGGCCTTTTCTCACTCACTCACTATAGGTACTTCAGTGTAGGGCTATTGAGGTCGCTCTGAATGGGACCCACTCCACCCAGAGGGAATATTGTGTGACCACAGGCTAGAATCCGAGAGACCCGCTCCCTCCCTTCCTCCCTGTCTCCTTCTGCCTCTTTTTGCCTCCAACATCACTTCAAAGTGGAATAAAAAATGTGGCACATGAACACTATTAATAAATGTATCACTTCAGTGCCCACAACTGGTCTTCCTTTTTTTTTTTTTTTTTAAGTAAGGACCCTTTGAGTGACTGGACTCTCTTTCAAAGGCACCAGTCTTTCTCTCTGTATCGTTCTCTATAAGCTGGCCCACTTTGCAGTTTTGAAAGTCGGCAATCTGGCAGAGCACGATATGGCGGCTTCTTTTGAAGGTTGGATGGTGATTAACCTTAGAGAGATTAATGAATGCATACCCTCCAACATTGTGTATGAGCTGTGTTCTAACAACTTTTATGCTGTTTTGGTGAAGAATTTGATTTGAGAATCATGCTGTAGTCTGTTTTCCTCAGACTATGGACATCTGTAGGACATCTGTCAGACCTGGAATGGATGAACAGGCTTGGGTGACACAAGCTCTCCCACACACACACACACACACACAC